AATCACCTAAAATGAATGTGTTTTTTTTTTTTTTTTTCTTTTTTTTTTTTTTTTTTGGTGAAAATAATAATAATAATAATAAATAAAATGAAGTGTTGGAAGCCAGTGGAATCAATGAAAGCTAGTATAATATATTTGAGTGGGGAAAAGAATGATGGGTATATTGATCATATAATAAAATAAAAGTGGGTATTTGAAAGAGATTTAAAAGTGGTTTGGAGAAAATAAATAAAAATAATAGATTTTGAAATCAAACGGAGGAGAGAGAGGGACAAACCCATGTGATAAAGTGGAGAGAGAGAGAAGGTGAGAGTAGAGAGCATAATAATGAGTCTGGGGTCTATGAGAGGTGGAGTATTATTTTATGAGAGAGTGAGAGGAAGTGATAATAAAAACAATTTATCTGTGTATGATAGGAGAGAGAGAGAGAGCAGATGTTATGGAAGTGGAGAGCACTACAAGCCACCCTATGTTTCAAAGCTCAAAGCTGCAGAGTGAAAGAGCCTGGAGAGAGGGAGAGTAGATCTGCGACAATGGCGAACTCTCTGCAACGTCTCTTGAATCCAGCTCGTTGTGTATATGGATCCACTTTGGTTCCATTATCTAGACCGTTCTCTTACAGACTCCTTGGTTGAGATCAAACCAGGGGAGATCGGGAAGGTCTCTGGCATCCCCGAAGAACACCTTCGAAGGAGGGTTGTAATCCTTTTTCCTGCTCGGACTGCCACACAACAGGGTTCAGGAAAAGTTGGAAGCTGGAAGATCAATTTTATGTCAACACAGAAATGGGAAAATCCATTGATGGGTTGGACATCCATAGGGGACCCATATGCCAATGTTGGCGATGCTGCACTCAGTTTTGACAGTGAAGAAGCTGCCAAAGCATTTGCTGAGAAACATGGTTGGGAATACACGGTTAAGAAGCACCAGACGCCACTGTTGAAGGTTAGGGCTTATGCAGACAACTTCAGGTGGAAGGGTCCTCCCAAATCTGCAGAAAACTGATTTTGGTTGCTGCTAAAATTTGGTGAATGAATCCATCATGGTGAGTTGTTGAAGAATCTGCCATGAAAGAAGAAATTAAGGAAATTTGGGTTTGTCCGGCGGCGGCCAAGGCAAGATTGCCGCCCGCCGGTGGAACGAAATTACTAGGTTCTTAACCTAACTCTGATACCATGTTAAAATTGATGTATAAAGAGAAATAGAGAATTGTATTATTGATTGATATTTGTAATTGTTGATCTATTGAATGTTACAATAATTCCTATATATAGAAGAGTAGGTGGTAGTAGGTGGTAGATGGAGTAGGTAAAGTGGAGGTGGTAGGTGGAGTAGGTGAAGTGGAGGTGGTAGTGGTGTAGTGGGTTTAGTGGAGTAGGTGAGGTGGTAGTGGTGTAGTGGGTTAGGTTTAGTGGGTGAAGTAGGTGATAGGTTTTAACAGATACAGACTATTTGTTGTTCAATTACCCTCTTATTTTTATTAGTGAAATGGATACCCCAATTTCACTCACTGTGATACATGTTTTTTTTGGTCTGAAACTAGATTTTTCTTCTAATGGTCCTCCATGAAACATTTTAGCTAAAAAGCCAAAAAGTTACTAAAAAAGCCAAAAAACCTATAACCTATACCAGTATGTTATGCCATATTTCGTTTTCCTCTAGCTTGCTCTGCAGAATTAACTAGGACCTAAATATTTTGCATTGTTGTATTGTAATTATGAAACTTTTTAATACTGAACCTTGTTAAATGGTTGGAAAGAGGTATTTTATGCCCCAGTGGGAATTTTAATATTACACTTCATTTGATAATGATAATTGCATATTTACTGACAACTACGTGACTTTGTTTCTGATTATGTCACTTTTGGTTGCCCATGGTATTTAGGTTAGTTTGATTTGAGCGACCTTCATGCAATAGAATGTTCAATCCTCTAATTGGATGTTTATTTGCTGAGAGTGAGAGCTTAAATTAATGCTCAGGAATATGATCTTTGAAGGGTATAATACAAAAACAATTCATGGTCGTGCCTTTGTTCTATTTTCTATTGTATGAATGAAGAAGCCAAGTCTCTTCTTTGTGAAAAAGGATTTTCATCAAATTCAATGTAGGATATTGGCTGAGTTTAGTTTGAGGCTTTGTGAATTGGCTTTTTCTTGTCACATTGTTTACTTTTTGTCAAAATTGACCTCTGCAGTACAATATAGTTTGATTGAATACACAAACACACTCTGAAAGGAAAATGTTATCATGTGCATTAACAAACAGACACTTGACTACGAAGGCACACTATGATCACTGCTCTTCTCACTTTACATACTCAACTTAAATAGGTAAATCAGTGAGAAAACATTTGCATGTTAGAAGGTGCTAAAAACAGTGGAACGGGGTAATAATGTAGTTAGTAAGAAGAGATGTAAATGCTCATGTTTCGTCTGAAAAAAAAAAAAACAAAAAAAAAAAGCAAAAAAAAAAAAAAAAAAAAAGAAGAGAAAAAGAGAAAAAGAGAAAAAATTATTGTCAGGATGAAGTGGCAGAGGAAACTACTTTAGTTTAAATTTCAAAAAATCAGTACTGGAAAACTGAAAGGACGTGAATTTCACTAGTAAGAAGGGATGATTTGTTCATTTATTTCTCTTTTGCTGGGAAGAATACATTAGAAAGAAGATTTTTAGATTTTTATTTTTCATCCGGAAAATATGATGTCTGACAGGATGAAGTGGCAGAGAAAAGTATGTAGTTAAATCCCAAAACTTAAGGTCAGATATGTTATCATTATGATGTTTTGGACAAGCATTCAGTCTGCTGACCGGAAAGTTGGAAAAAAGCACTGTGGATTTGGAAATATTTTCTGAAAATATTAACAATGACATGGTTGCAGAGGATGAACCTGAGAATCGTTGGTATAGGCTCTCTAGTATATCACTCTGCTCTTTCACTGTTTAAAACATTGGTTAGATTGTCCTACTGTATTTAATGGTCTTGGACTCTGCAATTAGATTGATTATAAATTCCCAAATTAATATACTTTATTTTTTAAGCTACAGATGCTGGCTTATGTGTTCTTGCAGTGAATTTAACTTTATTTTTTTAGCTACTGATCTGCTGGTCTATGTATATTTGTGATTCTGCATCACTTCATTGTTGATCATTCTGTAAGCTCTTTTACTTTACCTGGCGGTAATTAAATGTGTTTCATTGTTTTGTTAGGAGGGTCTTAGTAATGGAATATATTGATGGAATCCCAATTCTAAAGCTTGGAGATGAAATAGCTAAAAGAGGCATAAATCCTGGTGGTAAGATCGCAGCTGCGGCAAAGAGGTAAGCCCATTGATTGCCTCAGAGAGTATGAAGTCCTTTTCTGCCAATTTTTTTCTTATCATAATCCCCATTTTTATGCAAAAAGTTCATATCATCTACTTTAAATCCATAACTTACTAGCTTATATCTTAGTTTCTTCTTTTAAGCTGAAAGACATTTTGGGCAGTTTTAATATGTTATTGTAGAAGTGTGAGAGAGGTATTCAAACATGTGAATGACCTCATCCTTCAGGATTTCGTTTTTGAATGCAAGTACTGCCTGGTATTGTAAATATCCCTGAGATGGATCCTTACACCTTCATCTTTATTAGTAAATGTGCTTGCTTTTTCTAGGTACCTTTTCTGACGGTGTCTAGGAAAATTTCATGATAATATTCAAATGACAAACTAAATTGCACAAAAAACCCTAGACCAAGGGAAATCATTTCACCTTGAATGTGGTATCCTCTCTCAAAAGGCATCTCCACAGCTTCCTTCTTCTTGTACTTCGCTTTTCTTTATTGGCTATCCTTCAACAACATTGACATAATTAGATGAAAGCATAACGCTCTTACTAAAATATCTCAAATGCAGGAACATCCTTAAAAGTTTGGCAGTTGCTTATGGACAAATGATACTGAAGAGTGGTTTCTTCCATGCACATCCCCATCCTGGAAATATTCTGATCTGTAAAGGTTCTGAGGCAAGTAGGCAACCAAACTTTACTACCTTAAAACATTCAACATTGCTTCCGTCTTCCCAACCTTTTCTCCCCTATACTTTTTCTTTTAATGGGTAATAGTCTTAGTTTTATTCTCAAATTTGTGGTTATAGTTGTTTGGTTTTCCAACTAAAAACTGTTTTTGAGTTTTTTGTGATTCTTTGCGTCTTTAGCAAACTTTTTCCATATTTTAGTCAGTTTTTTTTAATGTTTTTTAGATGCACCTAAAAAGTAAAATATTTGTGAAGAAATTTTTAAAAAGTTCACTAAAGACATAAAAACAAAAATACCTGCTCATTCCCCCCCCCCCCCCCCCCCCCATCCTTTTTTTTTTTTTTTTTGTTGAACTTTTTTTCATAAATATTTTACTTTTAGATGCAACTATATTTTTTTTTGACTAAAATATAAAACAAGTTCACTGAAGACAAACTCGAAAAAAAAAAAAAAAAACTCAAAATCATTTTTCAAAAACTAAACCAAACAAATAACACTATAAGATGATTTAGCAAGAAAATTCAATCAAATACTTGGTAGCTTCACATTTCAATATCATTTATCGCCATGTTTGTATTCTAATATCTTAAATATGCATCTTCCTGTCATCCCTAATCAGGTTGCCTTGCTTGACTACGGGCAAGTGAAAGACCTTCCAGACAATTTAAGGCTTGGAAATGCTAATCTGGTTATTGCTATTGCTGACAAGGATCCTGTAAGGGCATCAGAGAGCTACAGGTACTAAATTTTGCCCATAAATTCCTTGTTTATGTACTGAAATCTAATGCCAGTGGAATTGTGGTGACAAGCTACTATTTTGAGGATTGTATGTGGTAGTCACACACAGAAAATAAAACAAAAACAAAAAGAAACAAAAAGGAAGAAGAAAAGAAAGAGAACGAAAGAAAAATGGGGGTGGTGAGGGGGGCGAGTTCTATTAATCCTGACTATTATATGCGTGTGTTGTAGCTATTCAATTGACTGAAATGGGTTGATTTTTTTTTCACCTGAGGTTTGGCTTTAATAGAGATACCTCCCTAACATTTTGGAAATTACAATGACCCCCTTAATAGAAAAATTAAAATGACTTTAATGCCCTTGCTTGTTGGTGCCACTGTCGCGATTCATCAAACAAATTAATTGATGATGTCAGCAATTGGTGTTAGCACCTAACAGTTAGTTAACGGAGCAGGCAAACTGTAATGAGATTATAAATTTTAGGGAGGAAAATGTAATTTCTAGAACATTAGGGAGGTATTTGTATTAAAGCCAAACCTTAGGGGATGTAGGTGTAATTTAACCTTATTTTTTTTTAAATCACTGTTAATTATATTGGGTTTGAGTGGTGTTTGATTGTATTCAATTATTAGGGAGCTGGGCACACATACCTTAATCAAGTGTGAGGATGGACAAAAGGAAATGCTTAAGTTGGCACAGACAATGTTTGATACAAAGCTACAGCCTGGTGTGAAGATGTTGCAACCTTTCTCTGAAGAATCTTCAATAAAAAAAATTGCTGTTCAGGTATGCATTATATTCCTTGTATTCATTAGCCACGAGGTATGTGATATCTCCCATTTGCCTGTACTTTCGGCATTTCACCAGAAGCACATTAAGGTACCATCATTTGCTTATATGATTGTGTTACGTTTTATGTGTGTCACGTGTTATCTTAGTCCAAGGGGTATTTGTGTACTTCGGGTCTTACTAATATAAATATTAGTGTCTAAGAGAACCCTTATTCAGAAAGGGTCTCTATATTAGCCGTACATTGTGTATTCTCTTATCTTGTTCTTTCTCTTCCTTATTTCTTTTTTACAGCAAATCTAATAGATTGTTTGTTAGTACACAACATCAATGGTTAACATTTCTATGCCATTTTATGGGTATATTGGTACATCACGTAAAAAGGAAATTATTGAAAACTAGTTTGTGTTGTTGCTATATTAGAAATGAGTATTTTCATTTGTACAGATGTTATGGTTGTTTTGTTTTGTTTTGATTTTCTATTTTTATTTCCTGAACAACACAAAAACTTGTTTGGTGAATTGTTTTGTAAAATTATTTTCAAAAATGATTTTTCCCCACAAATTTTTCCCCCCGAATAGCCCAAAATTTAGAAGAGAAAGAGAAAGAGAGAGAGAGAAAGAGAAGAGAGGGGAAGAGGAGGAGCTGCAACAGCCCTCCGCCCGCCATCGCCTCCGCCCGATCGTCGCCGCCGTCACCTCGTCGCAGCTCGGTTCAGCCCGTCGCAGCCCCGCCATCGCGTCCGCCTCTGCCTCGCAACCCCCGCCTCTGCCCCCTGCCTCTGCCCCTGCCTCTGCCCCCGCCCCCCGCCCCGCCTCCGCCTCCAGCCCAATTTTGTTGGCCCCTCTAGTTCTTCTTCCACTTCTCCTTCTTCTCCTTCTTCTTCCTCCTTCTCTTCTTCTTCTTCTTCTTCTTCTTCCTTCTTTCTTCTCTTCTTCTGATTTTCTTCTTTTGAAAAAAAAAAAAAAACAAAAACAAAACGACAAAACGACGTCGTTTTTTAATTCAGGGGATTCCGGGGCCTTGATTTCGAGCTACCAATCACTTCTGAATTATTTTTTGAAAAACTACCCATTTTTCGGTAACACCAAAAGTTGTTTTTTACTTTTCAAAAATTATTTGCACACAATGAAAATGATGGGTTTTTTTGAATTTTTCATTGCTCTTTTTTTCTTTTTTCTTTTTCTTTTTTCTTTCCTTTTCCCCCAAAAGAACCCACAGCCAAACATGCACATTATTGCTTAAGAATTTTTAGGAAATATATTCAGCCATATTTAAGGTGAATGACATTTGTTCTAGTAATGTGGTTGTGCATATTTGAAACTGTTTTATATGCTTATAGCAAGAAACATGTCTGTTACAAGACAGTAAAAATTTGATGACTGGGTTGAACTTGGTGAGAAATTTAGACACGAATTCTTCATGCCACTGTATTCCTTGGTGTAATGAACCTAATTTCCTTATTTTGTTATGGAAATGTTAGGCTTTTCCAGAGGAACTGTTTTCCGTTCTTCGCATGGTGCATCTTTTGAGAGGACTTAGTGTTGGTCTGGGAATCAACTACTCATGTGCAGAGCAGTGGAGACCGATTGCAGAAGAAACATTGTATCTTGCTGGCAGACTAAAAGGTAGCTCTCGTTAACTCTTGATATTGAATCATTGAGAGGCCAATATGTTGTCTGATATTAAAATTATTCGTCTGTGCTGTTGTTGACATGGCTGTTGCAATTTGTCCAATTTTTTGTTGTTTTTTTCCTCCCTTCTGTTCGTATGTGTGTTGGATATGGTGTACAAGGCTAGCCTATTATTGCTCCTCTGATATGCTGCCTATGGATACCTACTACCATGATCAATTGCCCTGACCTCTCCTTATGAAAGAGAGTAGCTGATACCACTAAGCTACCCATGCTCCATTTTCTTAAAAATGTGTATTCTTGTGAATACGAGTGCAAGCAATTGTGTGGGTGTGGTACATTATTATGAATTTGAGAATTTTTTTAGCCTGGGTGCTGCTAATAGCTCTTATACAATTTCTTTGGACCCCATCCACTTAATTTCGAACTCTATAAAGTTTCTTTGGACCCTCTCTCAAACCCTAGCTGCCTCCACCACCACCCTCAGCTCTAGCCACCCTTCCCCTCCCCTCTTCATCCTTCGGCGCCACCTCCTAGGCCCCCACATTTTGGTAGAGAGAGAGAGAGAGAGAAATTGTGAAGGGGGGGTTTGCAGTATGGAGGTTTTCGGTGGTGGGGAGCCTTCGTAAATGGCTTAGAGAGGATGGGTGGTGTGTGCAAGGGTGGGGGAAGGTGGCTGGAGTTGATGTAGGTGGGTGGTGGGGGTAGGGGTAGGGTTAGAGAGTAGGGGTAGGGGTAGAGATGAGGGCAAAATTGGAATTTTATTTTAAGGTAAAATTTTGATAATTTTTTTTTTCTCCAAAAAGAAATTCTTGGGGTGCTCTTAGCAACACTCTTTATCATTATAATTTTTTGTGCAATTTATTTTTTTCCTAATTAACAACAATGACTTGAGTTTGCTGCACTACTCTTTTATCTTTGTTCTGCAAGGACTCCAATTCCATGGGGGGTGATTCTATTTACACACCACCAATATTCTCAGGTGGTGTTTGTTTGGAAGGATTCAAGCATGGGATAGGACTAATAGTCCATCCGGACTAATAGTCTGTTGTTTGATTGAAAATTTTTGCACCGGACTATGAATCCCATATTTATGGGATTACTCTATCCCGAGGGGACACAATCCGTAGGATAATTCATCCCGTGAGATTAAGTAGTGAGATTATATTTTTTGATCCTCTACTATTTAATATCTTTTTAAAAATAAAATATATTTATTAAATTATTTATACTTAATTTATTTATTAAATGATTTATACTTAATAAAATTTATTATACTTTATTAAATTATGTATTTTAATAATATCGTATTAATTATAGGAAAAATTACTCATAAATCACATTTTAATAAATGTTGCTCTAGTTAATCCTAATTATTTTTTCTTAAACCATTTAGTCCTTTTTATTTTTGGTATGATATATATTTTTGATATATTGTATATAGAGTTTACATTTTTACCCAATCTCTCCAATTGAAGTTAAACAAAATTCAAAACCCACCATTGAACAACATTATCAACATCAACATCCGAACCCTTGATTCCAGATCGGAGAAGAAGGTGATCGGTGGAATTGAGAATCAATATCAACCTCAGAAACGTCATCGACATCAACATTAACCTCAGAAACATCATCAACATCAACTACATCTTTCATATATCTTTTATTAAAATCAGAATTTTAGAGAACTAAATCATATTAATTTGTGTCCCTAAAAATTTGAATTGCCATTTTTGAGGTATTTATAGAATAGAAATTGAACTATTTGTGGCCGACTAAATCGAGACCAGGCCTTGTAAGGCCCGAATTAATTTCAGTTAAAAGACCAGAGAATGCAGCAAGAGTTGAATTCCATTTGAGAAACAACAATAACAATACAGAGCAAGTTACGTATATATATTATATATTATTTGGTATATGTATGTGTATATATACACAGCAAATTGCAGATGAAAGAAAAGCACGCAGCAATGTTAGGCCAATTAAAAAGGCAAACTGACCAAAGGTGTTGTGAAGGTCGTTGCGCTGGCCGATCACAGACCAATTGCCACAGAGAGAGACAGAGAGAGAGAGATGAAACAACGAGAGAGTAGTAAGTGAGAGAGTGAGAGCTACTATTGAGTGAGGAGACAAAAGAGGATTAGGGTTTGGGCAACAAAAATTATATGGAAAATCGACGGCCCAAACTTTAGATTTAGAAAAAAAGAAAAGAAAAGAATGATTTGATGATGTTCCGGATGTTTGATGACGTTGATGATGTTTTGATAATGTTGAAGATGTAGTTAATGTTGTTGATGTTTGAAGATGTAGTTGATGTTGATGATGTTCACAATGTTGATGATGATGATGTTGATGTTGATGATGTTTACAATGTTTGATGATGTTGTTGATATTTGTTGATGTTTTGATGATGTTTGAAGATGTAGTTGATGCTGATGATGTTCACAATGTTGATGATGTTTGATGATATTGTTGATGTTTGAAGATGTAGTTGATGTTGATGATGTTTCACAATGTTGATGATGTTGATGATGGTGCTGATGTAGTTAATGTTGCTGATGCTCGAAAAAGGAGGGAAATCTAAAAAAGGCCTATAGTAAGTTTTTTGGGTATTTTTGTCATTACAACATCAGTAAAAACTTACATTTGTCCTCCATCAAAAAAAAATTACGTGTTAAATAAATGGGTATATATGTAATTAACATTCAAATAGGACTTATTAGTCTACAAAATAAAAGGCAGGACCTAATGGTTTAACAAATTAAAATTTGGGATTTATTGGTGTTTTGCCCTTAATTATACTTAGCAAAGTAAAATAAAATTTAAAAGTCTCAACTACAAATTAAAATAAATTAATGTAATTTTTATTAATATTCTATTTATTTAATTTTATAATTCAAATTTAATATTTCTATTATTTAGTAAATAATTCAAAAGGTCAAAATAGTCTTTTGACCATTTATCCTTCTCCATAATATCCCAAACAAACATAGGATTCAATAGAATAGTCCAATCCAGATATCTAATCTCATGACTAAACAAACCTAGGATATATATTTAGTCCAACCAAATAGTCCGGGGACAATGTATCCCAGGACTAACAGTCCGGTGGACTATAATTCCCTTTTATCCAGTAAGTCCAAAAAAACACTTCCCTCGATACACACCATTAATAGATTAAATTTATATTTCAATAATATCATCCAATGAAATGACCATTAAGGACAACAAGAGGTGTAGTCTACCCATTCAAAAATTTCATATTTAAAAATATAAAATACTCTTTACACACCATCATTCCTATAGGGTTTAAGGTTTTAACATATAAATATTATATTTCTTCATCATCTTCACCATTAATATACACTTATGATATCATTCATTATCAATTAGTTCACTTCATTCTCTTCTCCATTATACTTATTTTTCAAATTCAAAACATTATTACCTTCGAAGATTTAGGGTTGAAGAACATTAAAATCAATTAGTTTTGAAGATTTGCACATCATAGATGACACTGAAATGGTTGGTTTCGATATAAACATTGAAAACATTGATTTGAACATTGAAAATGTTAGTTTATGACTTGGTTTTTTAGTTTTTTATTTATCTTGTTCGTATGTTGGGAAGATCAGTTTGTTCGTCGTATTCGGATAACTAGAGTTGAACTTTTATACAATGTTCGATTATTTATATTTGAACAAAACAATTTTGTTCAAATTATTACAATTGACCAAATATTAAATGTTCATACATGAAAAATTGAACATTTTGAGTTAGTTTGTTTAAAATAAATTAAATTTTTATTCATTGTTCAAATATAAATTTTTGAACACATTAAGTTTATTCAACTTTGTATTTATGAATATGACTAATTTGATAAATTTGAAACGACAATGAGGGATGAGAGTTCAAGACCGACAATGAAGATCCAACACTGGCGAAGATGGAGGCCAAATAAAACACTTTGCCAGTGATTTGAAACGATGAGACGATGAGATGAGACACTACAAGAGTTCAACTCCAACTATGGAGATCAACACCGGCGAAGGTGGAGGCCCAACGCAACCTTCGTTGATGATGGAGATCAAGACCGACGAAAATGGTCTCTATTAGTCTCTGTTCTGAAGATTTTGGAGGTTTTGTTGTATATGGTGGTGAAGATGAATATTTTTTGGTGTGTAATGGTGTATATAGTGGTGTGTTAATATAGGGTTAGTAATAGAAAGTTAAGGTGTGAACTAAGATATTTTTAAATCCTAAAAATTATTTTGTGTGTGTAAGTAATGGTGTATACTACGAGTATTAATGGTGTGAATAGAATCATCCTTCCATGGGACACTTGAATGCTCCCTTATTCTATAAATTCGTCTTCAATTACTCAACATGTTTATAATATTTTCAAAAACGCTATTGTTTCAGGTAATGATCTCAAGATTGGAAAATGTAGACGTGGTCTCTTCAAAAGAATATTTGGGAGTGGTGGGATTGTGAAGACTGAATATATGCAAGCACGAATCGACCTGGAAGTCTTATGGTGTTCCAATTCTATTGTTCATTCTCTGGTGAAGTACAGATCGGTCCTTTGGTATTTGTTTGATACGAAAATTTGCAAAGTAATTGCAGAGTCATTTTCATCCTTCATTTGCAATTAACACAAGTTGGTTTGTAGATTGTGCTTTTATGTATACACTACAAGAAAAGTGTGCTTAAAAGACAGAAGCATTTGCGACGGCACACTTGCCGTCTCAAAAAGTGACTTTTTGCGACGACACAACTTGCTATCGCGAAAAATGTGAGTTTTTGCGACGACGCAATTTGTTGTCGCTAAAAAATAGAGTATTTGCCGTCACAAAAAAGTGAGTTTTTGCGACGGCACAATTTGTTGTCGCTAAAAAAATAGAGTATTTGTGATAGCAGAAAATGTTGTTGCAAAAAAATGAGAGTATTTGCGACAGCTGAGATTGATGTCACGAAAAAATAGAGTTTTTGCA